CCAAAAGTTTGAGACCAGCCTGGGCAACATTGCAAGATCCTGTCTCTACAAAAGAACAGAAAAATTAGCAAAACATGGTAGTGCATGCCTGTAGTCCCAGCTACCCAGGAGGCTGAGGCAGGAGGATCTCTTGAGCCCAGGAATTTGAGGTTGCTGTGAGCTATGATCACACCACTGCACTCCAGTTCAGTAATAAGCAAACAATAATAACATATTCAACATAGAACACTGTGGGGAAGCTGCAGTATTAGATATTACCAAGTGCAAAGTATGTTATACAGGAGTCACAGAAAGGGACTTCAGGGCCCACGCAGATGCACTTGTGTACCTGAGTGATTTCTTCACTGTCCATTTCTGTGTTTCCCAAGTCTCCAAAGTGATCATTAAAACACAGTTCTGGTTGAGCAGGGTCCTACTGCTGGTTGGGGAAGGCAGGCTAGGTAATCGGTGCGGTGCTGCAGGGAGGTCTTGGGTCTGTCCAGGCCTGGATTTCCCTACGCCAAGTCTGAAAGCCTAAGCAGGAGTTTCTGGCCGGTGTGTAGACATGAACGGGAGGTCAAAGGCTCAGGGACATTCAGGGGAAAGCAAGGTCTTGGGCCCAGCAGGCACGTCTGAGAGCGTCAAGTCTCCTGGCCTTGCTGGGAACTGCTGACTCTTGGCGTCCTCTGAGTGCTCTGCAGAGGTCATTACCGGAATGGGGTCTGCTGTTGCGGGCTTCTGGCCCCTTCATGGTAACCTGTGGATTTTCTTTTGGTGTCTGGAGTTGTTATCCTTTTCTTTTTGGTATAAGCAACAAGTCCCATAACTAAACTCAAAAATATATCAAACAATCTAATGAGCACATTGGGTCCAGGTCACCAGTCACGTTTGTACTCTCTCCTATTCACTGAGCTCTTAAAAAGTTCGTGCACACCTCAGACCTTAGGGCCACCGTCCTCCTGAGTGTCTGAAGTGGACATTGTCATGGTTCACACGCAGGGTTAGAGGTCCATGATGTTGTGTGGCAGCGCCAGGGCCCAAAGCTGAGTGTGGAGAGTGCGGGTGAGGAGCCCCCATACCTGCCGGACCTTTGTGAAGAGGCGTTTACAGCTAATTCAGTCCGTTGTCAATTTGAGTGTTGGTGCAAGTGGAGTGCAAAGACATTGAAGCCAGGCCTCCCTCCCTTGAGACAAGGTTGTAGCATTCAGGATAACTAGTTTGCCCCGAGGCTGGTCATTCTAAAGGAAAGAAAAGGCTGACAAAATTGGCTGAGAGGCTTTCAGGTGTCTGTCTAAGAAAAAAGAACTTGACTGAGGCACCGGGTTGATGTGATGCTTCAATAGGACACTGAGAGGGCTGGAATTTGGGCTGGCAGACTGATCTGATGTGGGGTACTCTGCAGAGACTCCACTTCCCAGTCAAGGCACGTGACCGGGCTGAGTGTCCTGGGGCAAGGTGGGGTCCTCCATCCCGAGAGGGAGAGTCATGAGTACTGTCAGTTCTCCCTGCCCAGGTTCAACCAACTGCAGATCGAAGGTATTTTTTTTTTTGCATCTGACGTGCACAGACTTTTCTCTTGTCATAGTTCCCTAAATAACACAGTCTAACAACTATTTACATGGCATTTACATTGGACTAATGTTATAAGTAATCAAGAGATGATTTCAAGTATTGGGAGGAAGTGCGTAGGTTGTACACAAACCCTACACCATCTTACACCAGGGATTTGAATTCCTAGATTTTGGTATTTGGGGGAGGTCCTCATGGAGCCTGAGGGGCAATTGTGTCTACTGAAATAATGGCCGGTCACATGAGAAGAGATTTGAAGATCAAAACCAGTCACTTTCTAAGAATCAGTTGTGAGTCTTATTCATCTTTTTAACCCAAGCAGTGCCTTACAGTAGACGTCCAGTAATCAGTTGGTGACTTGAGTTGCCTGGAATCAAAATGGGCCTCCATCAGTGGCTCTGGGAGTGAAGGAGGCGAAGGATGGAACATACCTTAACCAGCCCCATGTTCTTCCAAGATATTTGTGGCTGTATCAGCCGACCCAGCTGCTCTCAGCTGGGTGTTAGCAGTCATTGCTTCTCAGAATTCCACCCACCATTCGTAGGAGTTGGGCAGAACTCAGCTGGTAAAAGCTGGAAACTCTGATAGTGAATAATAACTGGTGTGCTTTAGTTTCGAAAATTTAATACAGGTTTGCACATTTAAAGTAAAGATATGAAAATAATTTGGTTTGTTAGAATAGGTTAAGGCTTTTTTATTTTTAGAAAGGTTGAAAGATATTTCCTAAAAAGGACTAATTGGAATGGGAAGATTATTTTTGGAAAAGAAAGAAGAATGTTTATTTAAAAATCCAATAGCGTACCTGTGGAAATGTAATTATTTTCTTCTTTTGATTAAAGAAGTGAAATGAACTCCCAGAAACAATCTGTGTCTATGGAGCTCTCCCATTTTTACAGTGCTGTCCTGCTTTAAACACGACTTTTTACTCCTGGAGCTGGTTCTCACTGTTACCATCTTTGCTCCTTAAGCCAGCCCGATTAGTGGCCCTGGGGGGGAGTGTCACTGCCACTTGGTGTGGGACGAAGGGTCAGGGAGGGTGGAGACATGCCACCAGCAGACCACAGGACCAGATCTAGAAGGTAGCCTCCCGGGTCCTGTGTGGAGACTTGGAATAGAGACACTCGCTGGGCCCCAGAGTGGGCAGCATATGGATGCATGAGATTTTAACATGTAGAAAAGGTAGCAGCTTCTACTCCAGCCTGTTCACCCAGCAATTAGTGTCCCCCATGACTGAGGCTCTGTATGTGGGCACAGGGCATGGAAAGTGGGCCATGCAGGGGCATAGGAAGATGGATCACATATATCACCAACCCAAAAGTTCATAAAAACTCCAGGAGGCAGGCTGGAGTGGTGGTTCACATGTGTAATCTCAGCACTCTGGAAGGTCAACACAGGAGGATCCCTTGAGCTCAGGAGTTGGAGACCAGCCCGAGCAAGAGTGAGACCCCATCTCTACAAAAAATAGACAATTTAGCCGGGTGCGGTGGCAGGCTCCTGTTGTTCCAGCTACTCTATTTGGTGGCTGAGGCAGGAGGATCACTTGAACCCAGGAGTTTGAGGTTGTTGTGATCTAGGCTGACACCACATCACTCTAACATCTGGGCAACAGAGTGAGACCTGCCTCAAAAAAGGTAAAAGATGGCAGAAGGCAGAGAGAAGGTGAGCGTCTGCTGTAATCCAGGGGGCCCGTGCAAAGTCGTAAATAAGCTCAACTTGCTAGCTCTTTCCCAGGATTATCATGAAGTTAAGATAAAATACATGTTAAGTACCTTAAATTGTAAAAACTTCTCTCATATATATACATGTGTATAAAGATCCTTTTACCCCCTAGAAATGGTGCTACCTGAACCTCTGGGTTTTCAGGATCGCAGAGGTGCTCTGTACCCGGGGTCGGGCCTTCCCCTCCTCGGGGTTCCTGTGAGTCCCATAAGATTTAGAGACAGAGTTTAATGAGGTGAGCTGCAAACTTGGATTAGAAGGGACCGGAAAAGTGATGGAACACAGTGATTAGAGCGGAAGCAGTGAGACCAGAACAGGAGGAAGCATTAAATGATCTTCCCTGATGGCCTGGATGGAGCAGGTTCCCTGAGAGGCCTGAATGAGGGCTCAGCCACTTTGAGGACTGTGGCCCCAGTGGACTGTGGCTGTGAGGACTGTGGCTTTGAGGACTGTGGTTGAAGACTGTGGCCCTGGTAGACTATGGGTGTGAGGATTGTGGCCCCAGTAGACTGTGGCCCCAGTGGACTGTGGCCCTGGTGGACTGTGGCTGTGAGGACTGTGGCCCCAGTGGACTGTGGCTGTGAAGACTGTGGCCCCAGTGAACTGTGGCTGTGAGGACTGTGGCCCCAGTGGACTGTGGCTGTGAGGACTGTGGCCCCGGTGGACTGTGGCCCCGGTGGACTGTGGCTATGAGGACTGTGGCCCCAGTGGACTATGGCTGTGAGGACTGTGGCCCCAGTGGACTATGGCT